CAGAGGTCTCCATTTTGGGAAGAAAAGGTGGATGAGGAGGCCGATTCTTGTTAATATGCATAGACTCTGAATTTAAAGGAAATTCCTTGGGAGGCAAGGCTCGATTAAGTTGTCTAGGGCTCATCTCTTCCTCCACTGGAAACCAACCGTGCGGCTGCACCCGAGGTGGTACAGACACTTGTAATGGAGTCCCCATAGGAAACTGTGGTTCACTTGATACTTGATCTCTCGTGTCTTGACCATGTTGCAATATAAGCAGTCTCCTCCTTGTATCAGGATCTAGTTCAGATTCTGGTACCTCGCCCTCTTCCCTAGCAGGAGAACTTTGCAAGCTTGTGTCCTGAGGACTTAATTGAGTTACTGATGATTTAAGAACAGAAGTCACTTGAGGGAGATGCTGAGCAGGAAAAGGCACCACTGGCGCTTGAATTGTTGATTGTGAAATAGCAGGTGGGACGGGGTACTGGAGAGCTGGTGCGATTCTTGGATCCGAATTTGTCATTTGAGAAGGAACACTGGTTGAAGCCAACATTGCTTCCTAAAAGGTCAGGATAACTAAATATTACGCTACAGCATTCGACACAAATAAAACAGGAGTTCCACTACATGCCAGAGGCAACGATAAACTGTAGAAGCGAAAATTAAAAATAGGGAACAGAAAAAGCACATCCATCGCTTATGAACCTCATGAAAAGTATGAATACAAATTCTCAAACTGAATGAAAGCACTCAACCATTACAATGTTGTACCTTTAGTCTCCTTTCAACCTCAGTATCAGCCATGCCATCAAATCCAAGTGAATCTTTATTCCCATTTACAGCTGAAGGATCATCCTGACCAGCAAATAACAGATCCTCTCATACATAGTTCATAAACATTTAATTAAAGACGGTGCGAAATTTCATCATCCATATTGGAGATAACCATGAAAAGCTAAGATCTGTTATTGGAGAGAAATGGAAATCTTTAGATTTCATTCTCACAAACCTCTGAAAGCAAATAGTTGCTAACATCTGGAGCAGAAGGAACTTGCTTAATGTCATCTTCATAAGCAACTTCAGATATTCGTTGTAATAGGCCCTCATCAAAATCTCTGCACAAAGTCAGGGGAGTCAAGCGAAACTCATCTAGGTGCAATCAGAATTTTTTTTAAAAAAAAAAAATAACCCAGAGAGAAAACCAAATCTAAATACAATCAGATAAAATAAGTTGGACAAGAAAGGTGACTGGCACCAACTTATCTCTAGAGTCTCATAAAATACAACAACAACAAACCCAGTTTAATCCCATAAGTGGGGCTAGAGTCTCTTAAAATCTTACTTGAAAAATCCACCTCTGACATTGCAGGCTACATTTCTGGCAACACAAAGGACAGGAACAGAATTGTTGCCCTACAGTCAAATTGTTCAAGTGCTTCAGAATGTTAACATAATTTAGCTCAACACCTCAACAAAACACTAGAAGAATGCAGTACATACTTCAGCTTGAGGGGAAAAATATGGAGCAAATGCAGGAACAACGTGCACTCGTGGTTGATCCTTCTCATCCCACACTTTCAAGCGATCATCAATCACCAATGCCATCTTAGGATGACAACTTCCATCTTGGAATACATTGAACAAAGATTTCCTCAAACCTACAGCATATTCATGAGCAATTAGTGATTAGAGAAAGAGAAAGAAAAAGAATGATGGCCCTGGTGAAATCTAGGTAGTTTAGAAACTTGCCAGATTTAACACAGACAATACGATCCAAGAGCTCTTTTGAGTTAATCAAGTTTGAATCTGGGTCAAGAAGCCTCCACATTTCTAAAGCATAATCTCTTTCAGCCATTGTGCATACATAAACTTCAAAGCGCTTCCGACCCCTTGCAGTCAGATAGCTTCGGAGATCCTCCCAAGCAGGTCTCAATCTCACAAGAACACTAGTATCTCGGATCTGCCATGATACAGATTTCGTTATGCATCCCCAAAAAAAAAGGAAGATAAAGCTTCACACAATGAAACAGTTTAATGCAAAAGAAGAATGGCGAAGAGAAATAGACAGTCCCATCCCTAGACCCCTTTCAGTGTTGAAGGTAGGATTTACAACTGACTCGCATTCCTCATCTAGTAGTCTCAGCGGACCATAGATGGCACAATTAACAAAACAGGGATAAGAAGGTACTAAGATGATGGAATGCAAAATACACATACCATTGGATTAATACGAGTAAGAATAATGTTTCTATCTTGCAACCTAATCAGGGGTCTGACGATAGGTTGGTGATTATCAGACAACGCTGGGAAAACCTCAGACTGAGATTTGATCACCTTTCCATTGTCAATAACCTGATCATTTTCGGCATATTGCTTCAAAAAAATCTTATCCTCCTGATAACGCTTGACCTCAGATAGCATAGCAGAGGCACGCTGCGGATCTGACTCTGAATTTATTTTCCGTAGCAAGGCCTCTATTCTATCCTCAAATGAACGCATTGTGTTGGCAACTATGAGTGTCTCATCAAGGTCAAATACAATGCCAAGACATCTAAGGTTTAGCATTGTTAAACAAGAATTGTAAAGCCCTGATGCAACCTTAAATCCCCAAAAGCAAGGACACTGTCCGCCAAAATTCTTAGACTGCATGGCAACTAAATGAAGCTCCTCTCTTCCAAGTGACACTACTGCAGTCTGCATAAACAGAAAGTATGCAGTAATAATTTTAATAAGCAAGCAGTTGATATTTAAATGGGAAAGAGAAAGAGCCCAAATAAATACCAGATATAAAAGGAAAGATGTCTCAGGAAATCTAAGCCACAAAAGGCACATTCACAGAAGACATGGAAGATGCATTTGTGACAACGGTTGCAGCATGTTTATCCATTTGCAACATTTACAGTAGACTTTCAACATAGACTTTTTTATGTTCAGTATATCAGAACACTACCATTCGTAAAAGAACTTCACATACTCTTCGAGTTTTCGCTTAAATATAGACCCCTTTAGCAAGACCGAACATTACCATTCGTAAAAGAACTTCACATACTCTTCGAGTTTTCGCTTAAATATAGACCCCTTTAGCTTGCCCCAGCTTAGTATTTTTTAAAAAGATAAAATCAGGAACAAAAATAATCTCCCTTAGATTCAGTAGCTCTTTAATGAAACTTCAGCTTGTCCAGTAATATAAGAACAGATTGTGCCTTAATTAAAATCCTACAATAAAGCCCTATCCCATCAACCAACCCTTTTCTCAACTTCACACTGCATGACTGCAATACCCCATGTAGGTCTCAAATTTGATACAAAGCTGCAAAGGGAGTTCTGCAAAAGTCCAAATTTCAAGAAAAACTGCAAAAGGGTACATGCCAAATTAGCATCTCCCTCACAACAATTTTGGTCATAGTCCAAATTATCCATAGTCCAGTTGTTACAATTAGGATTTTGATTTTTTAATATGAAGGATCAAGAATTTAATTCCTCATTTTAAAATTTTGTTCTAGGATTTTTTTTTTTAAACCATAGTTAGTCAGTCTTGGAAATGATTCAAGTTCAATCAGGGTTTTTTTTTTCCTTTTTAACCATCTCAAGTTCAAGTTTTCAAGTTGAATTTGGTACACTGGCAATCAGCAATGGGTTTATACCTTGTTATCTCTGAGACAAGTGGAGTGCAAAAGAAAGAGCGAGTCTTGGGACAGCGACTTTGATTTTGTTGGTTCCAATTTGAAGCTTATTCCATTTCCAGTAGTAGATGATGAAGTAATTGTGTGTAGTACTGCCAGTGGTGGACACCTCTCACTTGGTGGCGAATAGTGAGAGATCCTTATTACCTTCTCTCCCCATACGACACCGTTGTCACCACCATACAACAATTCCAGTTCTCCCACCACTCTTTCTCCTTCATACAATACCACCACCGAATTATACATTTTTCTTTTTCCTTTTTTTCTCTGGAATCACAAAAAATAAAAATAAAAATCAATTTGTATCCTTTCAGTTTCTCATCATCTTCAATAGATCTTTGAAATTATGCTTTAAATCCAAGGAAAAAAAAAGTCAAATCATGTCAAATCAACTAATCAAACGTCATCGTTTTTCAAGTTTCAGTCAGATTATCCCAGATTTACCCAAAGAATACCCAAAGAAAGTGAATTTTAGGGTTTTTATAGAAGATGATGACGATAACGATGGTGATGAAGAAGAATTAAAATCCAGATTTTCTTCTTGTTGTTGTTGTTTTCAGTATAGAGAATTAAGAGAAGATTAAAGCTAGGGTTTAGATGATTTCTTGATAGTAGTTGTAGTTGTAGTACGGCGATGAAGATGACGATGCGGTGGCTCTCAATTGTTGTGAAACCCTAGATCCACAGAGAGTGAAAGGTCAATTTTGTACACGCTCTCTCTCCTCTCTCCTTTTTCTCTCTCTCTCTCCCGCTTCCACACGTAGATGTTTATGTTGACGATATAAATAGATAAAACAAAGAAGAAAAACAAAATTCGGTGTTAATTAGATATCCATTCTTGAATTCGGGAAAAGGAAAATTACCTAAGATCCTTTGTTGAATAAAACTTACTCCCTAAATTTACAAGCAAGTGGGATTCTTTTTTACTATAGAAGATAAGCACTTCGGTTACGTCACGTATATAAGGTGGAAAAAGAAGTACACTACTTAAAACAAAACGCACCCATTGGTACCTGAACCCATTTATAGGAAAAAGTAAATAAGGTATCTTTCCGTAGATTGTTTGGTATGTATTTGTTGTATTTTATATATTCCAAGTGTCAAATCTGTTTTAACATGCTTTAATTGGTAGGTGTTGTTCTTAAATGTAAATAAATTTTTAAGTACCGTAACATTTCTCAAATATTTTGTAACATTGAACTCCTTGTCATTTGAATCCACATTCTTAGAAAAAATGGTTGGATATTGTTTTTGGGAAAACTACACAGTAAATCGCTCCCAAAAATAATAGCCGATAAAAAAATATATATATCATTGTATAATATTTATTTATTTTTTTATAAATTTAGTTAGCGGATATAATTATTTTTGGATAGTTTGTCACATGTGTAATTTGCCTATTTTTGGTTGGCCGGCCAAATTTTTCTAAAACTACTTTTACCAATAAATTATTTCACTTTTTTCAAGTTATTCAAACATAGTTTTTGCTCATTCCAACTACAGAAGAAAATTATCATGAAACATAAATTTAATATTTCACTTAAATTTGGACTGAAATTACTACTCATCATTAACATGAAATATCATGATCCTATCCATGAAAATAAATGATAGAGAAATGTATCTAAGTAATACATGAAGCTAAAGTTAGAAGTGCAATAAAATATTACTTTTTTGTGATAAATATCTGGCCTATTGCCAAATATAATATATTTGGCTTACTGATAAAGGATGGTAGATGGAATGCAGCAAAAGTATGTCATTCTTGAGTTTCGAATACTTAAAAGAGTAAAACGATATTAATAAAGTCAACTGTATAAATAGAATTCTATATTATATCATTCAGTACTCTTTGTATGTTGACCAATAATATGACTACTTGTATTTCTATTTTATTTTAGGAATTGTAACACAACTCACCACCTAATGTCTTAAATTTTCAGAACTTTGAGGCATTATTATGGTATACAGTAGGAACCGAGTTCGCCTATTGCATGACGTATCGGGGATGAAATATAATAGATTGAAATATATCGGGGATGAAATATTTCATTTTAGGTACGATGTTAGAACATGCACCTTCAAAGATTATCGAGTCTGTAACCTCGGAACTGACTCTTACTCTGAATTAGCTCGAGAGAACATCATCGAACCAAAATGACGGAAGGCCGAAATATCCGTAACCGGTCGCACATTACGGCGGAAATCTCGGCACGTATCAATGAAACCAATTAATTAGCAAATCATGAGATTTTTTACCTTATATAGAGTTGTACCTAAAGTAGGAATCTCCTACTATATAAAGGGGGTCTAATTATTTATAAATGACATGGAAACTCACATCTCGAAGCAATAAACTATCATTTCTAGTTATCATTATCTCATTACTCTATTCCGGCATCGATTGTAGCACTTTCGATTCGAGGGTGATCAACCTTCATGGCCAAGATTGTTCAACTTGTGTGGTTTTGCATTTACTTTTCTTATCATTAACTTCAATCTTAATCTGATTTCTCATTTTTGTATCAAGTTAGATCACGTATCCTTAAACCCGTGTATAAATTCAATTGTTATCTAATTTTGAGAGTAAACAGTTTGGCACCCACCGTGGGCTAAGGATAATAGTGATTATTTAATACAAATCTCCATAACACACACTACTTTACACTTGCTCTTTGAAGTGTCTTTGATTCCACGCTAAAATACAAAAATATCAAACTCTCAATCAACACCTCTACATGTTGACAACGAGTCCGGTCACCAAGGCGAAAATAACAATATAGCGCCCGGTAACGAGATATTGCCTACTGATCCCGCTGGAATTCCGATTGTAAATCCGATTGACGCTAATTCGCATGTGGCTATCGATATAAACTTGCCTACCGACCCCGAAAATAGCGTTCGTGGTGGAGCTCAATTGGCAACTCGAAACAACAAAATGTTGAAGGAGACGATATCAGCCTACGAGTGATCTTCGAAATATTAGAGGCTCAACAGGCGGCGATAGCTCAGTTACAGAACCAAAGTCGTGCACCAAGCAGGGTTGAGCCCGATCCTCCCCGGGAAGTCACCCGCAGAGATGAACCGGTCATAGAAAGGTCAAACGAACATGAATCGGGGCAAACCCTGAGATTTATAAAGATACTCGAGGAGCTGACAAAATGGATAGAATCACGGGAGAAGAAGATCGAGGCTAACGACAAAAAAGATGGAAACCTACAATTCCAGGGTAGACTAAATCCCAGGAGCACCTCCGATATTGATGGGCCTGGATTCCAATAAGTTCGTGCAAAAATCCTTTCCACCCAGCCCGGCTCCGAAGCCGATCCCCAAGAAATTTTGTATGCCCGAAATACCCAAGTAAAATGGAACGATCGACCCAAACGAGCATGTAACCCCATATACATGTGCTATCAAAGGGAACGACCTGGAGGACGATGAGATCGAGTATGTTCTGTTGAAACAATTTGGGGAGACCCTCTCGAAAGGAGCTATGATATGGTTTCAGAATTTACCTCCTAATTCTATTGACTCGTATGTTATGCTTGCAAATTCTTTCGTAAAGGCTGATGTTTATGGGGTTCCCAGATCTTTTATAGCCCCCGATGATTCCGACGCCACTAAATCGATAATCGAGGAGCTGGAACATGTTATATTAAGCTTGCCCGATCAAAAGGTATACCTGGGCACGGGGCTAAGCTCCGAGCTCAGGGAAAAACTCATTCAATTTCTTATAACTAACGAAAATAGTTTCGCTTGGTCCCACCTCGATATGACAGGAATCTCGCCGGAGATAACCACTTACAAGCTAATCTTGGACCCGAAATTTCACTCGGTTAAACAAAAGAGGAGACCCCGGTCCTAGATCAAACATGCTTTCATCAAGGATGAGGTATCTAAACTCCTTAAATAAAGTCTATTTGAGAGGTTAAATACCTAGATTGGTTAGAAACCATAGTGGTAGTCCCTAAAAGGGGAAATAAACTAAGAATGTGTGTAGACTACAAAGATTTTGAATAAATCATGCCCAAAGACTCTTTCCTTTGCCCAACATCGACCGTATGATCGATGTCACGGCCGGCCACGAGATCCTCAATATTTTCGACGCATATTCTGAGTACAACCAAATACGGATGGACCCGGGTGATCATGAAAAAACTTCCTTCATCACTAAATATGGCACATACTGTTATAACGTAATACCGTTTGGATTAAAAAATGCTGGTGCTACTTACCAACGCCTAGTAAATCGGATGTTCCAGGAACAAATAGGAAAATCAATGGAAGTTTACATTGACTACATGTTAGTTAACTCCCTTCGAGTAGAAGACCATTTAAAATGTTTGCAAGAAACCTTCAGCATATTGAAACAGTACAATATGAAGGTGAACCTAGAAAAATGTGCATTTGGAGTAGGGTCGGGTAAGTTCCTCGGATTCATGGTATCAAATCGAGGAATCGAAATCAATCCCTATAAAATAAAGCCATCGAATATATCACGGTCGTGGACAACGTAAAGGTTGTGCAAAGGTTAACCGGTCGAATAGACACCCTGGGGCGATTTATTTCGAGGTCGTCCGACAAGAGTCACCGATTCTTCGCACTATTGAAGAAGAAGAATAACTTCTCGTGGACCCCGGAATTCCAACAAGCTTTGGAGGAACTCAAGAGGTATTTATCGAGCCTGCCCCTACTTCACACACCGAAGACGGATGAACAACTGTACTTGTACTTGGAGGTCTCAGAGATAGCGATAAGTGGAGTCCTAGTTCGGGAAGAGCAAGGTATGCAATTTTCAATTTACTATATTAGTAGAACCTTAGGTGAGGCCGAAACTAGGTACCCTCACCTAGAAAAACTGGTGCTCGCTTTGCTAAGCGCCTCTAGGAAGCTAAAACCATACTTCCAATGTCACCTCATATGTGTCGTAACTACTTACCCATTGAGGAACGTTATGCATAAGCCCGAACTCTCGGGTCGATTGGCCAAATGGGCCATAGAAATAAGTGGGTGCGATATTGAGTATTGACCTCGGACCGCCATTAAGTCTCAATTTTTGGCGAACTTTGTGGCCGGCTTTACACCGACCCTAATACCCGAGGTCGAAAGAGAGTTATTGATTAACTCAGGAACTTTCTCGGGAATATGGACCCTCTTCCCGGACTTGGCATCATACTAAAGCCACCAACAGGTAATATAATTGGACAATCTATTAAGACTGTGAAATTGACTAACAACGAGGCCGAATATGAGTCCATGATTGCAGGCCTTGAACTCGCCAAGAGCTTGGGGCAGAGATGATCGAAGCCAAGTGCAACTCCCTCCTTGTGGTAAACCAAGTCAATGGAACATTCGAGGTCATAGAGGAACGAATGCAAAGATACTTGGACAAATTACAGGTGACATTACATCGGTTCAAAGAATGGACTTAGCAACACGTACCTCGGGATCAAAACAGAGAGGTTGATGCCCTCGCTAACTTGGGGTCATCGATCAAGATGACAAGTTCAAGTCGTAGAATTTATGAGATTGGTGGTAGAAGAAAGCCACGCCGAGATCAACTCGACGAGCCTAACTTGGGACTGCGTACAAAGGCGGCCCGATTTAGCCTGTCCGAAGACAGAACCTTGTTCAGAAGAACATTTGATGTCCTACTTGCAATATGTCTAGGGCCGAGGGATACTGAGTATATTTTTAGGGAAATCCACGAAGGTACCTGTGGAAATCATTCGCGCGCCAAATCGTTGGTTCGAAAAATAATCAGA